ATTTTTCCGAGTTTGGTACGAATTAGTCGAACGGTTACCGAGATACACTTATGTGGTCATAAAGGCGCGGCGCGACGCCCATTTTTCGAAAAGTTATTATAAACGTATTTCTTGCTAAAATTTTATTGCAAACATCAATCTTGAATAAATTCGCTTCAGTATTTTCTAATTTATCGAATATTTCGTATTTCTCTAAATTACCGTTATAAGGGATATGGACTTGGTTATTGTCCGATTTTAAAATTTCTTAGCCGTTTGATGTCTAAATCGACTCAGCTGGACGTTCTTATCATTTTGGTATACATTTTGATGGGAAATTTTGATTTCAAATATGTACCTCGCTCTGCTCAGTAAGTCAATGCAAAAGTCAATGAAATATGCAATGCAAATGGTTGAGCAAGACCAGCATGCGAGCTGTCAGGAAGATAGCAGAGGCACAACCATATGATAGTTTGGAATCATTTATAAAGAGGAAGCATTCAAAGAAGCTCGATATTTGGGTACCACAGGAATTAACGCAAAGAAATTGGATTGACTATCAATCAACCGCTGCTGAAATGCAATAAAATCTAACCATTTTTGAAGAGGATCATTGCGGTCGATGAGAAGTTGATTGATTGCGAGAATAATAAACGCAAGCGATCATGGTCAATAGACGTTCCCATGGCAATCGGGTCTACGTAACAGGAACGACCCAGTTTTATATCAGGCCAAAGACTGTGACTCCAGCATCACATGGTCAATAGGCGCTACAACAACAATAACAACAAAAATAATGCTCAAAGACCGATAACGCTCCACAAACGACTTCAAAGCCAGGATTGAAAGCAAACAGAGTTATGTTGAGTATTTGGTAGGATTGAAAGAGAATCGTCCATTACGAACTGATACAACTTGGCGAAACGATCAATCCGGTTCTCTACTGTGCATAACTCAACCGTTCGATCGAAACAACTAAGAAAGAGCGTACAGAATTGGCCAACATAAAAGTAGTTGTGTGTTCCATCAAGACAATTCCAGGCCACGCATATTTGATGACTCGGAACAAATTGACGAAACTTGGTTGGGAGATTTTAATGCATCCACCATTTAGCACAGATCACACACCGTCGGACTTCCACTTGTTTCGGTCGGTGTAAAACTCACTTGATGTTAAAAAGTTGGCTGATCGAAGAGCCACCGAAAATCGTTTGGCCAAGTTTTTCGCCGATAAGCCACATAAGTTCTACACCGATGGAATTATGAAGCTACTTGAAAAACGGCAAAAGGTTACAGATGATAATGGCCAATAAGTACTTGATTAAAATTGGGTTTCAATAAAGATAATTTCTCTCAAAAATTTATCCAAAAATGGAGTCTTTTCATATGACCCAATATACATACATAGGCTGGAGTGCCAGTGCTTGGGCAGATAACGACTGTCGGGTCTACGGAACCGGATCAGATTCCGTAACTGCAGCTACGCTAAATTTTCATATACAATATGAACACATATACAACATACATAATTTCCAAATGCTACTTTAATTTGGGGTATTTTCCTTATTTTCGAGCCGCTACTGTCTCAACTAAAATACAACAGGTTTGTCTGTTCGATGCGTTGGTGTGAAGGCAACCAATGTCAAGTCGACAATAAACAACTAATGCAACAACAAAAACAACACTCCTTAACAAATCATGTAATAAGCAGATGTAAACATTCGAACGCGAGCATTGTTCGAAACGAATGCAATTTTGTGTTGCCTTGTTGCGTTGAACAAAATGTACCCAGCGAGTGAATTTAGAGGTACGTATCGTCACCTGAAATGCAAAATAACGTAACATCACGCTACTGAAATGGAAAAAGTCGTGACTAATTTTTTTTTCATAAAACGATGTGGGGAGTTGTAATTTGATGAAATCCATCATAGTAATCAAGAAGTGAATTTTGAATTTTTTATAAGTTACGACTTTTTGCATTTCAGTGACGATGATGATACGTTATTTTGCATTTCAGGTGAACGTATATGGAGCGTTCCGTACCACACTTCATATGTTTGATTTGTTTCAAATTTTTAGGGTTGATGCATAGACATTAGGGCTGTGCGACTATTCGATTACTCGAGCAAGTTGGTTAATCAATTATTCGGTTAATCAATTACTCGAGTAATCAAGATTTTGATTACTCAAAACGATGATTAATCGAGTTACTCGAAATATGATTACTCAAAAAAAAATAACTTTGCTCGTTAAAAGAGTTTCCTTTGGAAAATGCTTATTTTCTTTTTTACATTCTGTATATGAACAAATTTTTCGTTTACATTTTTGAAAACAGAAACGTTGTTTTCAAAGCATCAAGGAACTTTAACTTCTTTATACATATGTAAAGAGTTGAAATGTTGATTACTCATTTTACTCGAAATGTTGATTAATCATAAAGCAAATTACTCAAATATTTTTGTTTTTGGTTAATCAAAAATCTTGATTACTCGAGTAACTGAACTTTTGAGTAATCATAATTTCCAATTAATCGAATAATTGAGTTATTTACTTTATGATTAATTAAAATTTTGAGTAATCAATTAATCGCACAGCCCTAATAGACATAAATAATAAATAAATATGAAATTTGAGCTTGATTAAAACATTTTCAAAAACTTTAGGGCACAAAAACAAAAACAAATCGATTTAATAGTTTTCCAAATATCTCGAGAACGGGGCGAGGAAAAAATTTGACAAAAATCACACATACACACACCAAAATTCTCTATAAAAAGAAGTATTTTTAAATTTTTTTCTAGAAAAATTTTTCATATACAATTTTTTTGATACAAAATAAGTTTTTGAAAGTATGCCATCTCAAAAAATAGTGAAAAAAATTACAATGGTAGCTCTGAGTATTGCGCAATATTTAAGTATAGTATTATGGGGTGCACTCTCAGGAATGAGAGTTTTATTTTAAAATATTTCACATTTCATAAAATTTTAAGTAGGTTAGTACAAATATAAAAAAATGGGTTAGGCTACTTCCTGACGGCCTGAAATACTTATGTACATATATCCTAAAAATATCCACAAATGTTTCGCACAATATGCCATATATGAAGGTAAAGGATAAAGAGATCTGCCCAGAGATAAAATATCTTTTGTAATAAAAGGCCTAGAAAAATTATTCGGGTGGCATTAGAAAGGTGAATAATATAGGATAGAAAACTTATTAGGATGACACTAGCGGCCGCTGTGGTAGCAACCTATACAGAAATTAGAGAAAATACAGTTTTTTTTTCTAACGGCGGTCGTTGTTCGGCAGACAATGGCAAATCTCCGAGTGTATTGTTGCCTTGAAGAAGCTTTTCAAGAAAACATGTGCCATTCGTAGGCGGCGTGAAATTGTAGGTCTCTAAATCTGTGTTATAATATTAAAATTGGAGAAAAACTTCGGCGGAACACTTAACAAAAGAGTAAGCGGCTCATATAATACCTATATTTAAACAAATCCATATAAATCCAAGTTGCAATCTTTGTGCAACATTTAAATAAAAATCCACAAACTTTCGTAAAAATTTCGAGCTTTTGAATTTTAAATTGAAGGTTCAAGTGGCTAATACCGTTGAACTTTGATAATTTTTTTGTTAAAGGGTTGCTCATTTTCTTCATATAAAAGAATCGTCGAACATACTTTGTATGGAATAAAATGACTGACATCCTCAACAAAAAAATTGTAAAAATACAACGATAAATGCCGGTTACTTTAAACTTGTACTTTGTTATAGTAGAATCCAATGGGCTACAAAATTGCTTACTCAAAATATTTCAGAAAAATCGAATTAAGAAGCTCGAAACTTTTAGAAGTTTTTTTTTTTAATTTTCCACAAGACTGAAACTTGGACTTATACGGTTTCTGTTACAAAATATATACTATATTTTTATAAACAATTAATTAAAGTAAAAAAAATATTAAGATAAATGGTCAAATCTTGTCAATATATGAGTGTCGTAAAGTTATGAAAAGCACTATTTTTATTTTACTAGCTTCATTTTATGACCTTGGAGAAATTACTGCAAATCGCAAAATGTGAAAAAATACCTGTGACGATGGAATCGTCCTTACTATAGAGCCGATTGCCAATTATTTTTACAGTCAATCATAACTAATAGATTAATGTTAATCTACCACGTTTCATTGCACAGTAGTTGACCAATAGTTAAAACCGGCTCTTTCTATTAGTGTAACCAATGACTCTGAAAGCGGCCCTGTGACGTGTCTCAATTGAATGGAATGTAATTGACTTACAGAAGGAACAATTTCTTGAAATGCACTAGTCGATCGACCACCGAGATCGTGCGATTTAACACGTCTAGATTATATTATCTGGAGTTACGTGAAGTCATTGGTTTATCCAAACAAACCGAGAACTTTGGACATCTTGGAAGACAGCACTGCGGAAAATTGTATTTCTTGAGTACAGAAATCAGGATATTTGTTAAACTGTCCAATTAATTTGATATCGCCACAAAATATTGCAGATTTTTAGGAGCAGCACGTAAATTTATGGTCGAGAAGTTATAACCGTGTCTAGTATATCAGCACGTTTTGTATATGCATTACCCAAGATTATTTCGAAAAATGGAAACTGATCTAGATTAGTCAATGCCCTTTAGAAGTTCTTCCTTAATGCCGGGTCTTATGCGATTCCGAAGGCAACTAAGTATTTTTTCCAAATCCTAAACAGTTACAATAGGGGACTATCAATAGTTTTATGCATATTAGATCCAGATCTTCAATAAACGTCTCTTTCAACTTGGAATAACAAAACCTGACATTAGTGCCTGCAAAAAATTTTTTTGCAGATCGGAGATATTATAAATATATGTATGTATACTCGTTTGAGCTGAATTCGAATAAGTTTCAAGTACCCATCATCATTTTCCCTAATTTTCAAACAACAAGAACTTCGAACCATTTTAATATCTTAGTCTACTCCATTTCCCTATGTCGTTCTCTTTGTTCCTTCACTTACCGCCAATGTTTGTTCCAACGTGAATTTCTCAGCGATAAGTACGTCCTTTTCGCGCGATAGCCTATCCTTCGTTTGACGTTCTAGACGAGCTGCATCCTATACAAAAAAAAATTGGAGGCAAGTTTTAAAATTTATTACATATTAGAAAAGTGACTCCAGTGACCCCAACAACTAACCTGCAACGATTGGCATTCAGCATCAAATTTACGCTGTTTCTTCTCCAACAAATTATTGCGACCATTTTGTTCTTCGAGCAACATACGCAAATCATTCATTTCATTGGTCATTTTTTGCGCTTTGCGCTTCCATTGACCGACAACCTGGCGTTGCTCCTCGACCTCCTCATAGGCATCGGAGAGCTAATTGACATAGAAAAGGCGAAAAATATTAGAAAAATTCAAAAGTACATTGTTTCACATAATTCGCCTATTTGCTTACCTTCTTCTCCAACTGTTTCTTCAGTCCGACTAGTTGTTCCAGATCGTGTTCGTGTTGGGTTTGCAAGCGTCGCTTGGTGAATTCCAGCTCACGCGCCACGCGCTCATATTTCAATTTATAAACGCCGCCGCCACCACTTTCATCATTCTCTGGATCCTCATCCTCGGATATGCCATTCAAATCGGATTTGGCACAAATCAGTTCCATTTCCAGCTTTTCGCTGGTTTCTTGCAGATTTTTCACTTTGTTTTGTTGTTCATTGAGTTCTTTTTCGAGTTTCAAACGTTCGGCTGTTTCGGCTTCGAGCCGCTCGGTGGCAATATTAGCGGTAGAGCGCTCCTCGGCGAGGTCCACCGTCATTTCGGATAACTGGAAATGAAGTTGGAGTGGAAAAAGAAATTTTAATTTTTTTTTTTTCAAATACTTTATGACGGTAAATTAAAAATTTCTAAAAATAAACGCATTAAAATTTAAAATAGCTTCGCAGCTAATAATCATATTTTAATTGTATTTTAAATTACAAGTTGCGTGGGCATCCTACATATGTATGTATGTATGTATGTTGTTGTGGAAATTTTCAACACCTGCCCATTAGAAAATATTGCTCATAACCACCAGAAATATACTCCTACACAAACTGATTCACAGATTCATTTTATTTTTGCAAAATCTAGTGACATATTTTTTGTGAATTCCAAAATTAAGTATCCATTGATTTTCATGCATACATACTTACATAAATACATATGTATGTAGATAGATTCATAAAAATAGAACGAAATGTTCATACGTATTTTTCCTGGTATACTAAAATCTTAGCGAATCACAGCGCTATTTGTCATGGACACAGCTTTACTTTGACGCAACTTTGTTGACGCGACTGTCAATGTCAAAAACTATTAAATTAAAAAAAGGGAAATCAAAAATACTTATAAGTACACCCAGTGCATCATTTGCTTAAATTTAAACAACCTCTCTCATCAAGTTAATATTACTTTGGAGTTCAATAGCCTGACCTATGAAGCCGCTAAGGATGCCTAGTTGCCAAATGACGGTTCATCGAAGAGATCAACGAGAATACTAATATCCCATATGCATTACCGTAATTTAGGAGTCATTATTCATTTATGAGAACACGGATACTAGGAAATCGGGACATACATTAATGATTTAAGCTTGCCAAAAGGTCGATTGGGAAGAAAGTTGTGGAGAATTTAAAATTCAACTGTCTCAATACAAAAAAAATATGGGCATACCTCCGGAACTTATGATGATGCATAATTTCGTAGGTATATGGTCAAAATCGCTATACTATTTGCGTATTTTTTAAAGTAATATATATATTAAGAGTTACTGTAGTATTTTATCCGATCTGAAACAATACCCGCAATGGTGTAATCCCAAAACTAGCTACAACACCTGTGAGAAAATTATTCTTAAGCCATGTTATTGCAAAACGTACATATACACTGCCGGCAAAAAATATTGGCGCAGCGAATTTTTCACAATATATGCACCAATTTCTATTCTAATATTTTTCTGCTAATTTTTTATAAAAATATGGTTTATTCTACAACAAAAAAAGTAAAAATATCGTTTTTAAATTTTGTCCAAAACTCGCGAAAAATTCAATATTTTTCATGCAAGTTTTCAACTTTTTATTCCGATTTTCTGGAATTTTCTTGAGTAAGCATTAAATTCTAGTCAAAAATACAAGTTCGGAGTTAGTCAAAAATCGCATTGATTTTTGAGATTTTTTTTTTTTTGTTGAGGGTGTTTTGCATTTATTCCATATAAAGTATTTTCGAAAAAATTTGTGTGTATAGAAGAGACTGCGTGAAAAAAATTGTCTAAAATCAACGGTAATTCCTAGCTACTAAAAACTTGTACCTAATTATAATAAAATTGATTGGGCTACAAATCTGCATACTCGAACAAATTCTAAAAAATCTGATTAAAAAGTTGAAAAATTGCATAAAAATTTGCTGAATTTTCGCGAGTTTTTCACAAAGTTTAGGAATTATATTCTTATGATTGTTGTTGTAGAATGAACCATATTTTTATAAAAAAAAATGGCGGAAAAATATAAGAATAGAAATTGGTGCATATATTGTGAAAAATTCGCTCTGCCAATACTTTTTGCCGGCAGTGTACATGCATCGATTCTACCAGCCTTATTTGAATAGTGCGCTGGGCATGAAAATTAAAGTGACACAAAATTGACACAATGCCATGGATTCCCCTTTGCATATGAAGAGCATGAGCAAATTTACACCACTAGTTTTATTCTCCACATATTTTTGTTCTGAATATTAAATAAACATTTTGGAAAATCTGTGATTAGTATGGCATGTTTCCAATTTTTTTCGGTTTATGTATTTTACTTTGTATTGAATGAAGGCATAATCAAATCTGGCGATGTGGTGACAAAGCAGCATCAGCAATAAAATTGCCCAGCGTTGCCAAAGAATGCCAAATTTATTGTTATAAGTGTGCATGCATATTAGGGTGGTAAAAAAAAAAAAGGAATACCAGTATTTTTATGTTTTAAAAGAAAAACTATATTTAGAGCTGACCATGCCCATGAAGTTTTCCATTTTATGTGGGAAAAACTATTTCGTAGAAATGGTTAGTAGTATTTTTGAAAATCGGTATCTTTCGATTGGAAAACTTTGTTTCTCTTAAGAAGGCTTCCAGTAACAATAACCAATCGTTTATTTAGATTTAAAATTTTAAATTTTAACATTAACAATTTTTTATAGGTCCCCAAAAATCCCAAAAAATATTTAATGGGCGAGACCCATACAAAATCGGTACTATTAAATAATGGTAAAATAGAGAATTGGGTAGTATTATTGGAAAATATTGATTTTCAGTAGGGATGTGACGAATAGAGATTTTACCGGATAACCGGATTCCGGATATCATGTAAAAAATCAGAGCCGGATTCGGATATCCGATCGGATATTCGGTGGACTGCTGCCCTTTATTAATTTCGCAATATTGTTACAATACGTAATTAAGAATACAAAATTTCTACTCTGAAATCGAAGTTATAACATAATTTTGTATTAAAAATATGACTTTTCCGTCTGCGACTGTGACAGATTACACAGGCCTGCGAAATAAAATTTTTTTTTTTTTTTTTAATTTCTTGGTGTGTTAAATTTAAATATATTTTTTCTAGCACGTCCAATTTTTTTTTTTATTGGTGACATATATATTTTAGGATTTTTAGCAATTTGCATGATAAGCCAAAAATTATTAAATTTAGACGAGAAGATCCTTTAATTTGGTGGAAGCATAATCGCCAAGAATTTCGAAATTTTTTTATACTGGCAATGAAGTATCTCTGCGGACCACCTTCCTCAGTTAACCCAGAAAGTGAGTTTTGTGTATCGGGTAGCATTTATGTTGAAAATAGAAATAGATTTTTGCCCGATAATTCGGAAATGCTTCTTTCATAGTTAAAAATATTAAAACTGTTTACTTTAATTGCTAATGGTATCTAACATTAAAATGGATCCTAAACAATAAAAAAAAATATACAAAAAAAATACAAAATTCCTAAACTAGATTTTTAAATAGAATCTTCTATAATCGAAATCCGGCCGGATTTTACCTAGTATATAGTGATAGCTTAACCTTTTTGGACCACCCTAATGCATATTCATAATAGATGTACTTGTCATTTGATGATTGTTTCTATACTACAAAAAAAAGACAGCTAATAGCTTTAAAAGAACGCCCACAATGATACTCTGCTTACGCATTGAGGAATAATACGAAAAATTTAGATATGCATTAATTTTTTGAAATACATTTAAAATACAATATAAAGGCCTTTCAGCGACCTAGACCGACAAATACGTATAAAAGACAAGATGATATTTATATCGTTGTTTAACTTTATTACAAAAGAAACTGTGGAATCTCTAACATAATTATGCCTTTGGCAATGAAATGATTTTTCTTTTGGACAGTAAAAAAATCTGGAAAATATACAGAACTTTTAATTTAATACATATATGTATATGTTTTTGCTTTTGTCTTTGAGATTGGGCAAACTGACTTCCAGTCCTTGATCCCAGAACCGTTCATTGGTACACGGACGATTCGAGGATAGATGCGAGAGCAGATTGCACATGGTTTTCCAGGCTAAAGTTTTAGCAATTCTAGGCAAGGATCTTTGGCTACCCCTCAATAGATCGGGTGTGATTCAATTAAACAGAAATGACAACAGGCTACTCTCCGAGTACCTTGCGGGCCACAACCAACTACGCTTTCATATGCACCGAAGAGCTTATCGGAGAGTCGATATGCCGGCTCTGCCTTGAGAACGAGGTAACGTCTGAACACATTATGTATATGAAACTGTCCAGCCTTGGCTAGACAAAGATAAACTTACTTCAAAACTGCAATGGTCAATTATTTCATTCAAATTCATTAGGGAAGCTGCGGGTATTTTGAGCATACAGAGTAACCGCCTCCATCATTTAGAGGAACAAAATACCTTTCAGGTCGCAGTGTCTCTTTTTATGACACACTAAGGCGAAGTATGTTGTAAGATGCCAGTCGGAAAAATTACAAAAAAAGGATATTTTATCCTATTTCGAATCTTTTCAAGAGATGATAGGCCTTCCAAGCTCGATTCTTTA